AGACTGTTTAAAATCATAGTCTAGATTTCAGGCAGAGGGAAACTGCCATCTTTTTAAGTACATTCTTGAATTTTGTGTGTGCACACATGTACATTGAAATGTTAAAAATTTGGAGGGCTTGCTTGGAAATAATTTCAATCACTTTGCAAGTAGAAGGTGCAATACAAAACATACAATTATCATAACTTTTCCTGCATTTGTTGATTTGAGATCTTTATCCTTTTAATTTGCTTTATAAACTAAAAAAGGAGTTGCCTTCCACAATCTATCCAACAAATCAGTATTCATCCACTGCGCAAGGGTAAAATAAGAGTTAATACGTTTTTACAGGACAGGTAGAATATTTTTTCTCACTATGTAGCCTCCCTAGAATTCCTTAGTTGTAGTAAATTAAATCAAACACAATAAATGGGCATGCCTACTTGCCTACATAGAATTGCTTATGTCCTATGCTTAGTTATTATTAAAGCCCAATTTCAAATGAACATGCTTTCAAGATTTCTTTCTTTTTCTCTGGAATTAGCACAAGTTATACCTGGTAGCTCAGTTTTTACATTGATTCGTATCTTACACCAACCGTATGCCAGAGCAGAATATTTATTTCAAGGCCTGTTTTCCTTCACTTTTCTCCGATTCCGGTATAACCTTAATCTCGTCGCTTTTATATAAAACATATAATACTGCAGACAGCACTGGGTCATATGGAATAGGTTAAGAGGAGAAAAAGTTCTACTCTTTACCACAAAAAGTAATACATAAATCCTTCTCACTCATTCTTCAGTTCAGTATTTTGAGAAGCCATTTCAGATACTTAAATCTGACATCTATTTGGCTTTCAGTTGGTTTAAAGATCATGCAAATCCCCACGCTACAGTAAATCTTAATGCAGAGTTTCTGTTTTTCAGTGGGAAGCATAGAAAGTTTTCCTTGATTTTCTTGATTTTTACATATTTTGCATGAAAATGATCACACATATGAAAAGAGAGATATTTTAGGAGAGCTACGTTTGAACATTATGAGAACACCTCCCATGCTTTATTTTTGAATCCTGGCAAACTTGATGCAAACTCAGATGT